AAAGCTGGTGGGTGCAGATACTGGGCACACTTAGTCATATGTCTGGCTAGGCCAAAATGATTCCACCCCCACCCTGGCCTGGGCTGCCATATCACCTGTCAGTTGGGTTTTATCTGGAGTTTGTGCCCATCTCCTTGGTTTTTCTTTAAAAATGCAGTCAGTTTGTGGAGAAGTACTTTCCTCTTCCAAAGTCAATCATCTATACTGGTTCATGCACTGGTAATCTTTGATAGGCTATTGCAATGCTCTCCACATGGGGCTGCCCTTGAAGATGGTTTAGAAGCTGCAGCAAGTGCAAAAGGCAGCAGCCAGGCTGGTGTCAGGAACATCAGAATATGACCACACCCCACCTGTCCTGGTGTGGCTGCTTTGGCTACATTGCATATGCTTCAAGGTTCTTATGCTGACATTCAAACCCTAAATGCTTTAAGACTTATCTGAGTGAACAGATTTCCCTCTTTAGATCACCCCCAACTTGTGCGTTGTATATGGACAGAAAGAGTTGGCAAGAGAAATAGGCCTGCCTAATTTCCGGCTAGCAAAGTACTCAGGCAATGAAGCAAAGTGAAGTGTGTTCCTTGTGTGTCAACCCATAGCGCTTAAAGCACTCTCTGGGCAGTTTACAATTCAATTATGCACGCTACATATTACCCCCCCCCCAATCACCAAGCTGGGTACTCAACTTACCAACCTCAGAGGGATGGAAGGCTGAGTCAACCTCAAGTCAGCTACCTGAGCTTGTCACAATGAAACTTCTGTGCAGAGTCTTGATTGCAATACTGCTGTTTAGCTGCTGTGCCACGAGGAAGCATTTCTCTCATGATTTATGGAACCTACTATGCCAAGATGTGGTAGTAGTAACTGCAGGTTCAGATAGCTTTTTGTAAGCCATGATTAAGTATGATTGGTTATTAGTTTCCCGAGTTGGGAATCGGTGGCTCGGCACATGCCTGGCTCCATTCCTTCTTGGGGGACCGTCCCCAGAGAGTGCAGCTTGGGGAGAGTGTCTCAGCCCCATGGAGTCTCAACTGTGGAGTTCCACAGGGGTCGATCATCTCCCCAATGCTGTTTAACATCTATATGAGGCCTCTGGGAGGGGTCATCAGGGGATGTGGGGCATCGTGTCATCAATATGCTGATGACCCCCAGCTCTACATCTCCTTTTCACCAACTGCAGATGATGCCGTCCTGTCCCTTCAGCGCTGCCTGGGGGCCGTACTGCAATGGATGCAGGAGAATGGGCTGAGGTTGAACCCGGACAACACGGAAGTTCTGAGGGTGGGAGGCCCTGTGGCTAGTGGTTTGGGTGACTCTCTCCTGTTTGGGGGGGCTGACCCTGGCTGCGAAGAGTGGTCCGCAGCCTGGGCATACATTTGGACCCCACACTCACCATGGAAATGCAGGTGGCGTCGGTAGTCCGCACCGCCTTTTTCCACCTTTGGCGGATTGCCCGGCTGCGGCCCTACCTCGACACGGGGGCACTCACTACCTTGGTGCATGCGCTCGTAATCTCAAGATTAGACCACTGTAACGCACTCTACGTGGGGCTACTTTTGAGGCTGATGCAGAAACTTCAGGTGGTGCAGCATGCGGCGGCCAGACTCCTCAGTGGAGTGAGAAAGTTCCAACACATTCCTCCAACTCTGGCCATACTGCATTGGCTGCCCATTTGTTTCTGCATCGACTTCAAAGTGTTAATGCTTACTTACAAGGCCCTAAACGATTTAGGAGCTCAATGTCTGGCGGAACGTCTACTCCTACCAAGGTCTACCCGGATCACCAGTGCGAGTCAGGAGGTGAGGCTGAGGAGCCTGATGCCGAGAGAGGCCCGGAAGGAAAAGACACGAAACCAGGCCTTCTCGGCGGTGGCTCCTCGCCTCTGGAACAATCTCCCTCCGGAGATTCGTGCGGCCCCTACGCTGGGCATTTTTAAAACCCAATTAAAAACATGGTTGTACATCCAGGCCTTCCCTCCAGTTAATACCTGATTCTTATCTATTTTCCCTTCTTATTTTTCTTCTTTTTATTGTAATTGTCATTGGACTATGTATATTCTGGCGTTTTATTGTTTTATCCTATATTGGAAGCCGCCTAGAGTGGACGAGCAGTCCAGATAGGCGGGAAATCAAATAAATAAATAAATAAATTAAATTTATATCCTCCCTTTTATTCCAATAACATTAAAGCAGCATAACTGCCTCTCTTCCTCGACTTTTCTCTCTCACACACAAAAGCTCTGTGAGAAAGAGAGTGACTCACCCTTGGCCACCAGTGAGCCTCACAGCTCTCTGGGGAATCTGAGTCTGAATCTCCCAAGTCCCAGATTGATACTCTTAACCTCTGCATCACGCTGCAGCTCTGTTATATAGCCATGAGAGCTGAGTGGTTTCAACATGTTTAGAGGAATATAGCTTTGACTGCCAAGCACAGAGGACTTATGATGTTATGTGCTGTTGGTGTGTGTTCTTGCTAGAGGTAAATAGCTGGCTAATGTGGGCAACAGATGCTGACCTAGATGAATGCACTTCACTGGATCTAGCAAGCGAGTGTGGTGACTTCTTAAGGGACCCCATGTTGTTCCCTTGTGTGATCCAGCTGAAAAAAAAACAGCTTTAGTTCAAGCAGATCTTCCTCTCACTGTCAGTTTCCCTCACTAAAATGCCCTCACACCAGCCCCCTCCTTCCTGAGTCCGCAGTCTAGGCCTCCCGATAGTCAATTATCACTGACTGTCACTTGGGGAACAAACAATGCCAAGGTGAGAGGAGGCAGCCAGCCAGCCAGTCTCATCCAGCTGCAGCCACTGAAGCACTAAATTATCTTCCACCACTTTGGAAGCAAGGATCATGATGCAGGAAGTGCCAAGGCATTTTTGCACCACCCCACCTCTGCTATGTTGGGAATGTGAATTTAGGAAATTAGCAAAACAGCAAAGGATAAGCTTACACTTTGATTAAATAAAGCAGCTGTTTTAACGTAGTTAAGGTGGACACCCCAGAGGATTGGAAAGTATCAGTCTACATCCCAATCCCAAAGAAGGGCAGTGCCAAAGAATGCTCCATCTACCGTACAATTTCACACGCTAGCAAGGTTATGCTCAAAAGTGGTGCTGGAGGAGACTCTTGAGAGTCCCCTGGACTGCAAAGAGAACAAACCTATCCATTGTGAAAGAAATCAACCCTGAGTGCTCACTGGAAGGACAGATCCTGAAGCTGAGGCTCCAACACTTTGGCCATCTCATGAGAAGAGAAGATGCCTTGGAAAAGACCTTGATGTTAGGAAAGTGTGAAGGCAGGAGGAGAAGGGGACAACAGAGGACGAGATGGTTGGACAATGTCATCAAAACTACCAACATGAATTTGACCCAACTCCGGGAGGCAGTGGAAGATAGGAGGGCCTGGCGTGCTCTGGTCCATGGGGTCACAAAGAGTTGGACACAACTAAACAACTAAACAACAACAAAAGGTGGCCATCCAAAGCAGTGGTCAGGGTTCCTCCACCTTTGACAGTTGTATGGTGGAGGGAATTTCAGCAGGCTGAATGACCAGATACAGTTGCTAAAATATTCTCTTGAGGCAACAATTAAAGGTACAAGAGATTTTTCTTCTTCATTCAGCCACCCTGAACCCAGCTTTGACTGTGCCAAAGGGGCACATTATAACAGCCAAGCACAGTTGGGAAACCTAAGACCTGATGGCTCTGCCCAATGCACATTATTAAGACACTGGAATCTTTGCCATCATCAAACTTTATTTTGCCTTAGTTTAACTTCATAGTCTACTTGTGGTTTTTCTCAAGATACTCATCTGTCACAGAAAGGTTGCTGTTATGTATTCATCTGTTACTGTTGTTGGTGATGTATGTATGCATGTATGTATGCATGCATGCATGCATGCATGCATGCATGTATGTATGCATGCATCTCCATTATTCCTTCAAGGAGCTCAAACATGGTTCAATCTCAGATGATGCAATTAGCACATTTTTAGAAGTGGAGTTCCTTTAACAGGTAAAAGATTCTGCTTCTTCTACCATGAGCTTGCCTTATTCTGCCTTGTTGGAAATTAGATGGTGCTTTTTTTCATGTGTGATTGGTTACTGAGAGGCAAAGACAGGCTTTATTTGCAAGTATAATTGTTCAGATATGGTACATGGAAGGAATTACATATGTGGAGAATGTGAATTCGTATTCCTGAAATCACATACTGTATGTTCTAAAAACAGGAAATACGGTACATGTTTCCTTTAATTGGAAACCTTTGGTTTTAAGAACAGGGGTGTAAAATTCCAACCAGACTCAAGACAGTAGCCTCAAGAGGACTTACATCACTTCTCACAGATATGTACCATCAGTTTCTAGATTTTGGTGTACAGTTTTTCTGCACTGTCTATCACAATTTGTTTAATTTTTATCACCCACTCTTACATTTGTTTCCTTTAATGTGTGATTTGACCCATGATCTCTCATCTAGACTCTGCTCAGAGCCATATCTATTTATCTTCAAGAGGTGACTTGAATCATCAAATGTCTTAGACTATCACATGGATCAGAGAACTCATGTACTATCGATTTATAAGCTGCATCTGTTTATTGTGCAGTCAGTTAATGAATATATATTCTCTCAAACTGCCGTATCAGTCATGGGGTGATTGTATCTTCTGTGCCCTTGAACCACTCAGATGTTTTGTGCCTGAGAGCAAAATAATCACTGCCCCACTTCTGTTCCTTCACTGCTTGAATTGTTCTATTCTGATTGTTGAATGATATGTAGTTGCAGAGATGACATAGCATCTTTCTTATGACACCATTGGAATTGAAAAGGTTTGGTCACATATTGCACAGCAGTACATTCCTATACTTTTTTAAAAAGTGATTTTAAGAAAGATTCTCTACATGTTCTTCATGAGGAGTGCTCCTCTGGTGACGTTAAACAACAAAAAGATACTGTAAACATTAACAAAAAGTTGGGGTGTGGGGGGGAGGCAAAGACTTGTGACACACTTGAGACTAACAGATTTATTCTGGCATGAGCTACAATTCACAGAGTGGACTGTAATCCATAAAAGCTCCCACTGAAATAAATCTATTCAATTATTTTTACCTTCGTGTTGGGCTGAAGCAGACTGACAGAGCTACAGTGTTGAAAAAAGGATGAACAGGAAGCTAACTCCCACAACAATGGGCTAACATTGAATTCATATTCTGATGACTGAGCAGCCTTTAGTTAAACAAGCCTATTTGGCATTTCATTAGTTTATTTGTCACAATAATATTTGTCAGGCTACTCAGTTTTTTTAAAAGGCTCAAAAAGTCCCCTTGCGCCCTCTAGGGGACATGGCCGGCAAATTTTCATTATTTTGAAAAGGACTCTGCTTTATAACTTTTAGCAGGATGTGCAAGGAGCTTTAAAAATAATTGCAAGACATAGGGTCAGGGGGATCTCAGGGGTGGTGTAGCCCTCCAATGACAGACATCTGCAGCATCCAGAACTCTAGAGATTGCCTACCCTGTGGTTTATTTCTGCAGCCTTGAATGGCATTTGAAGTTTTAATATCAGAGCAAACGTGGCAGCCTTTCCCTTGGATTCAGTGTTATCAAATGTGTAATTGGGCCCTTTAAACCATCTTCTATTTTTTTCACTGTCTTTCCTAACTTTCAGGAGCACAAAAGGTAAGAATGTGAGAGTTGCTATGCTGGAGTAGAGTTCGTCCAATGCAACATTCAGTTAAGACTGGCCAGCTATGTACTCTCATGAGGGAATGGAATATTAGCACCTGGCAACAAAGATTTCCATCTCTGAGTAGTGGCCATCCGTTATTTGTGCCCTGCATTTTCAGACCCAAGATAAGTTGCTTCAGCAGAAGCTGGAAGCCAGCCCAGCAGATACTCTTGTGCAATGGCCATGGTTTTTGAGTGGGGTGGGAGCTGAAAGACAATCAGTAGGGGTCATCAACTTGTGTGGGTGCAGCTGTATAGCTATTTGACCACTTTTGACTTTTAGTGTTCTTGCAGACCTTGAGTCAAATAGGCAGAACGTAACATTTTCTTACCACTGAAGTTTCCTCAGATAATGTAATTGGATGTTCGGAAGTGTTCTGCAGGAGTTTAGCTGCTCAATGGAACCAAAGCCTTCTGCAGCTGAAGAACTCTCCTGTATGAAAACGTTCGTATCTTTGAAGACTGATTTGGGAACTCGTGATTCCTAAATTCAAAAGTTTCTCTTAAGGAAAAAGACGTTTTAAAAGCCACAAACTGGTGAATACTGTATAAGGTAGAATCTCCACAGAGCATTAAGTACTCAACCTTAGGTTGGTTGGCTGAGATTCTTGACAGGGATTACTGCTCCCATCATTGCTAAGCATTGGCCATGCCCATTGGGACTGCTGGGAACCAAAATCAAACAGCATCCGGAGAGCTGTAAATGTCCACCCCAGGACTAGTCTACTGCCCATCCTTTCACCCACCCCAGCCTACTAGATGGTGATACATGGAGACTCAACAAACACAGAAGGGTGACACTTATAACAAGGAACAGATGTATAAAGAGTAAAGAAAACCACAAGACAGCATATTGGCAGCATACATAAGTCATACAAATAATACAGAGGAAAAGTACAATAGGGATCAACTAGTATGTTGGTATAATAAACAAGAGGATTTTGTACGATTAGAAGGAAACATTCACAAATCACTTTTCATAGCACCAAAAAGCCTATTTTATAAAATACACAGTTAAATCATATGTATTAATATTTATTATTTTATACAGTGCCATTTTTTGTGCATGGCTGTTAACAGACAATCCAGATGATTAACCATTTCCTGCCCCCCCACCCCCAAGGGACCCCTGCAATTTAGAACAGGCCTAGAAGGAATGGAGTTGATGGGCGAGAGTCAGTCAAGAGCTACATCCTGTGTTTTCATTGTATTCTACTGGCACTAGTTCTAAATACTTATGTTGCCTTCCACCACTTTTAATTTTCCATCTGTGATTTAACAGCAGGCAAGATGCAATATTTTTGCTTCCACTTTTCATTTGTGCTTGGCTGTTTCTCATGTATAATGAAATCAATTTAGTCAAAGTTATCTATATCTCTATATCTCTATCTATATAGATGGGGGGCGGAGAAAGAGAGAGACATGGTGGGTTGTTTTCTATATATAGAAATATAACAGTCAGACTTTCTCCATCACCATTTTTAAAAAAGAGAGAAGCCAAGAGGGGTTGTTCTGGATTAAAATTCATAGGGCTTGAAAGTTGAATTCTGAAGTATTACATCAAAGCCTAATCAGCTTGTCTATATTTCTCTGTCAAAAGGTTTATTTTCATCTACTTTGAAAATTAAGTTTAAAGTACATTTAGATTATGGCATACAATCATAGATTAATTCGGGATTGGTTTCTGATCTCAGCCACCAAGGTCATCACTTTTAAACAATTTTTAAAATGGTGCTGGTAATGTAGATTTTTAGCAGAACGATGAATATTTGGTAGAAAACGTGAGAATTGCCAGCTTTTTTGGGAGGTGGGGGGACATACCCTGCTATTATGCCTTTAACAGCAGATTGGTTGGTAGTTGTTAACAGGCAATAATGCTTGCTTCTGTGCCTTGAAGGAAAGATTCACCTTCGGATTTTTGTAGCTCAAGCCTCCATTAAAGGCACAGAAACATGGAATCCATGTGTGTGTGTTTTCATTTTCCTGATCAAATGGCAAACCTATTTACTGGAGTTCATTCCTGGTGAACATCAAATCATTCATTATAGTGACTTGAAAGAAAAAGAATTAAAATTCTTGGTACAGTATTGCCAGCTGTAACCCCTATGCACAGTTAAATTTGCATAAGCCTCATTTGTTAACATGGGAATTGCTCACTTATAACTAGCCATAGGGATCATGACCTAAATGTGCAACACAATCTCTAATTCTGTGCATACTTATTCATAAGGAAGCCCTCCGGGATCTCAATGAACCATAAGACTAAATCAATAAGACTGATTAAAACCCATGACTCAGACATTCACACACATACATATCATTATAATGCCTCAAAAGGATGAGGGATTCTTATTAAAGGAATTTATTATAATTTGGTTTTTGTTGCAATGATTTCACATGTTTAAGCTTTGGCTTAATCTCCTTGAAAGACTCTCCTGTAACCTCATGACTCCTAGAGTTTGATCTGTAACTGGGGGGAAACACTAGATCATAATACAAGACTTACGACAAAACAGTGAGAGTTGGAAACACTGTTGATATAATTCCAGACAAACCTCAGTTGAGAGATGTTAACAGCAGAGAAAAAGCAGGAACGAAGGACAAGACTAGAATCAGACCCATAGGTAAGATTTCAAAATCTAGGCTACGTTTACTGTGGTCAAACCTATCCCAGAAGGACACGGCTCTGAATGGATCATGCGGATACAGTTTTGGACCGAGATCCTGCAAGCACTTATGCACACATTACTAGTGTTTTGATTAAAACAAGGACACAGAGTTACTTGTGATATATGGGCACAAAAGTACTTGCAGAGTTCAAATATTAGAGCCTTAAATTGTAACTTTAGTACAAAAAAAATGGAAACAAACAAATTCAGTGCCATTTAATGGAATGTCCTCTGCAAGGCAGACAAACATTGTAAGTCTCCAAAGCTATACATGTTTAGGAACTGTAACAGTCGTGATCTATTTCATTGTTTTCTCCCTGGGGAAATTAAGGATATTCCCTCCCCCCCCCATCACAGTGTACATGATTTAAATTTGCCTGTCTATACTTTGGGGAGAGTGCTTACGCACACCTGTGACTCTATAGCTTTGCTGGCTGGAGCTATAGAAATCATAAAGCACTTCCACTCACTAATATGTACATGGGGTAATTAAAGGAGACAGATGTAGTTCTCTTGGGTGCTATCATGTTCCGGTGACGTTTGTTCTTTTGAGCCACAGCGTTTCAGGTCTGCGGTCGGGGCTCTGTCACTCGGCTGCTGCTCCTGCTGCTGCTGCCACCGCCGTCACCTGGGGGTTCCTGAAAAAAAAGCAAGCAGAGCGTCATTCACTTTCCCCATCTCTGAACAGCAATGTGATCTCACAACAGGGCCGCCTGATGGAGAAGAGGGCAGAGACTTTTGAATGGTCAATCGGTGTTCAGAAAAGGGAGTTTTTATTGGACAGGCTTCTACTAGCTACAATTTCCTCTTTACAACTTTTTGAGTTCTCTTTTGCATCTGGTCACCTGTGCCCTATGAATAACTGAGAGTGTTCACATCATGCATGGCAGAACGGGATCTCTTCCCGCGACACCAGGAATAAGGCATCTGTGGCTGTCCAGAGGCTTTTGGGGGCCCCCAGGCCCTCAGAACCAATGGTCAGGGATGGTGGGATTTGTAATCCAAGAATACTTTAGAGGGACAGAGATTATTCATATCTTGGTTTTTTTTTATAGAAGTTGTAGAGAGACATTGCTGGGCTAAGAGGACTAATTTATTTCAATATGTAGTCCTAGAAATATGTCTATACACTAAATAAATCCAACTGTGTTTAGTAGGATTTATTCCCAGATACTATGTATAAGATTTCTGCCTCCTGAGTAAAAAACAAAAAGTACTGTGGTGTCTTTGAGACAATAACGTTTATTTCTGTGGGACTTTTAGCCACAGGTTATTATACTGTACATGGTGATGGGGAACAGACTGCGGCTGGTCTGTGCTTACTTACAGAGAGCCACTTCCTCAGCCTTAAACAGCATTGATTCTTAACCAGCAAGATAATGTGGAGAGAGAGAGAGAGAGAGAGAGAGACCAACGTTAGAGATGAGCTGCGCATTGATTCTTAACCAGCAAGATAATGTGGAGAGAGAGAGAGAGAGAGAGAGAGACCAACATAAGAGACCAGCTGTGCCCCCGTATCTACTCTGGCACCACTAGAACTGGTCCCAATATTATTCATACCACCAGGAGTCCATTCACTTATCTTCTATTGTGACCTATGCGATCCCCTGTCAGCAGTTCCCCTCCATGTTCTACAGAGGGCAAGACAAGGGATAAACTCTGTGCAAGAGAAGAAATGGACACGAATGTCACATGAGATACAAAAACAGACAGAGCCTGTGTCAGAACACTGTCACTGATCTTTAAAGGGGCATTGCAGAAAAAAGGAATTACAAATGGAGATTTGAATGGAACACAGCTGAAGTGAGTTAAGAGTCATAAGCCCCATGTTTATCCATAATATTAATAAAGATTGGGGCTTTTAATTCAGAAACCTCAAGTCCTAAAGGTCAAGATCTAAGAATCCACATCCTTGGAATCTTCCTATTGCCTGGAAGTTAATGATATCAATACCTTGAAAGTTCACCACCTATGTTAGTAATGACATTGCCATTATGTCACTTTATTAGCAGATGTTAATATGCAACTGTCATTCTGCGTGGTGCCACACCCACCTGAACCCTTACCTACATGTTGTCACCACGACGATGCCAACGGTGTATAAACCTGTGGTCCAGATAATGTGCTTTATGTGTCCGGAGAAGCCTATAGAAGTTCACACTAAAATAAAATTGTAACTCTGAAAGGTGTCACCAAGCTTTTGTTTTGGTCTCTGTTGTAGTTGTTGTAACAGTCCAACATGACTATTTCTTTGAAAATGCCTTCTGAGTAGATACAGTTCTCTGGGCCTTAACAAAGTCCAGCCACTCTTGCTGTTATATCACCCAGTTCATACTGGCTCTTAAACTGGGTTGGGGAAAGTGGTCCCCCAAATCCCCTCTAGCCTTCTGGTCCCTCAAAATAATCATGTCCCAAACAGAAAACTGCATCCCCCCAAAGTCTCGGGGTGGGATGGGGAATAATTTGCATAAGTGTCATCCCTCATTAGCCTTTGTTTAACTGATGTTATCAGTTCCAGTTTCTGAAGAAAAGGCTTTCTCCAACCTAAAACAGTCCCAAGAGAGCCATATTACATTCATTTGGGAAACTGTGCCCCGAGGCTTCTTGAGAAGAATTAAATATGGATAGCTATAAGCAAACAAATTTTGATAATGAATAAAACATAGTGACTATATGTTTAACAGCAACTTAATTCACAGAAATTCAGGGAAATCTGGGAACCACTGGCTTTGTTCCTGGAAAGTACTTTAAAAAGGAATAAAAGAAAGATCCATTTGATGACAATAAACAGGATGGAGATGTGAATATGCACCTGACAGGACACATTCATGAACAAGAAAAAGAGCTGCTGAGGTCTCATGCATAACCTCACAACCAGGGCACAAGAGGGACCCCCTACAAATTTGCAGGAAGAAGCTTTATGCATCCAGTTAATAAGCCTCCTTTAGTATCATGGTTGTGAAAGCAGCTGCTAAGTTTACAATGATTTGCTAATTTTCTTTTTTGGTCTGCTGAGTTGTTTAAAATTACGCGTAATGCATAGTAGTAACAATGCTTTTCCAGCTAGATAGTTGTATTAATGTGATGCAGAAAAAACAACAAAGAGTTATGTGGAATATGGTTGTTCTGGGTTTTTCGGGCTCTTTGGTCGTGTTCTGAAGGTTGTTCTTCCTAATGTTTCACCAGTCTCTGTGGCCGGCATCTTCAGAGGACAGCAACCTGTGCTCTGGTGTAGTTGGCTTGGGAGTGCAGTATTTGTGACTGTGAGATAGGCTTTTGTCTTTTTCTGTAGATGGGTGATTACTGTGTATTGTTGTGGGTGTATTGTTGTGCTAAGGAGAAGAGATTATCTGTTCCTGTGGTTGATGGGTGTCATTAGCTGGTCTTTTGTGTGCAGTGATCCCCTGTCCTTGTGGCTGGGTAGAGTTCGTTGACCTTTTGCATGTTGTATTTTTGAGAGCTGGGAGCCAAGTTTTGTTGAGCTTCATACTTTCCTCTTTTTTGTTGAAACTGTGCTGGTGCTTGTGGATTTCAGTGGCTTCCCTGTGCAGTCTGACGTAATGATTGCTGGTGTTGTCCAGTATTTCAGTATTTTGAAATAGAATTTCATGTCCAGTTTGTTTCAGGGCATGTTCAGTTATGTAGCATTTTTGACACAAGCAGATGTAACTTGCAGTGAGCTTTCCTGGGCACAGATTGCTGGTTCAGATGAACAACTGTCTTCCACTGAAGACATTGGCTGTGTCTGCCAAAGTCTATGCCAAACTGAACTAACAAAAATGCAGCAGATCTCCAGCGTCTTCTGTGGTCTCTAGATTTAGTAGAGTTCAGATACAATGCTATGCACACCTACCAGGAAATCCATCCCATTAAACTCTACAAGACCTGTTTCTGAATAGAAAAGAATATGCTTCCATTGTTTGTTTATTTTTCAACCCCTTCACACTTCCAGTTCAAAATGAGAAGAGGTTGTTGGATGAATGGGTCCTTGGAAGGAATGCCATTAATGAAAACACAGGGGAGGAGGTCAAATTTATTACAAGCATGCATATTTCTTTTTGGGAAGGAGAGGAGTGTACGGGGAGGGAAGATTAAGGAACTTACTGAGTCAATTAATACTACAGGTTGATGATTGTATTATATTTAGTGACTCTGGGATCCCCTGGGAATGTTGGCAGGAGTTCTGCACAGGGGAGGAAATGGAATTTTCCATGCTCCATCTCTCTGTGAAATGAGAAGATTGGTGGTGTGTAATTTTTTGTCATTAACCAGCTTTCCCTGTGCGAGAGGACAAAGTAGGAAGCAAGACGCCGAAGACAGATTTCTTGCCACTCCTCCACACTCCTATCTCTGTTTTTTTGTGAGTCACACACACACATCCCATTTTGGATTTGTTTTTGTGTTGCTGTAATAAGAAAAGAAGATGAGAACTGCCCCCTCCATTTTAAGATAAATAAATAAATGTTTCCCTCCTCATTGCCCATTATTTAATCTATTTGCTGCCAAACACTGGAGAATTAATCTCGGTGACAAGAGTTTATATTATGCATGTCTCAGATACATCCTATCACTTTGAGCAGATAAAGAAGAGGCAGATAAGGCCATCCCACATTCCTGCATTAGTATCAGAGCAGGAAATCTGTTTTCTTTCTTTAAATCCTCAGTGGATGTGGATTTCTGTGTTTAATCGGTGAAACCAAGACTGTTTATACCTTAACAGCAGGCTGGTCCACAAAGGTCCCAATCCAGAGATGAAGAAGTACACATTCTGTGTGGATGAAACTGGACCATCTACCATTTGTCTGCAGAAGCAGATAGTCCTTGGGAACAGAAATGGCACCACTGTGTTGCAATGAGGGATACAGAAAGTAAGCTGTGTCAGTTGTTCCTCAGGGTCTTCCACTTACAGAAGGCAGATCAGTATATCTACCCATTTCCTGTTCCATTCCTATCTTGACCCATTAGACAACTGGACCATTGGCCTATGGTGACAAACAATTTCAACAAGCTGTCTTAGAGCAAGGGTCCCTCTAGTTCAGTCTTTCCTACGCTGATTGGACTCGGATGCAGTCTTCCCTAGCCCTAAAAGGAGATGCCGGGGATTGGACCCAGGGGCATCTTCATGCTGTATCTGTATTTTGCCAGGACTATGTCGTTTATTTCCCCTGGCACCAAGAAATTCTACACTCCTCCCAGCTCCAAGAAATCCTTCAGGATCAGTACCCTAGCTGGCCATGTCATGGATCAGAAGCAGATGACTCCTCGTTGTTAGTACCAGATGGTGGTCATTTAGAAACCACCCAAGTGGCTACTCAAAGTTCATGGGGAGCTGATTGTTTATTTAAGCTCTGGTCACATGATGAGTTGAATGGCCGACATGAAAAAAGAATTAATATGATATGGCAATCAGCCCACTATGAATAGATCACAAGGATAATCAACTCTCCAGATAATGAACTCTCGACATGCAAAATGTTTTCAAGTGACAGCCATTCAGTAGATGGTTGGCTGTATTCCCTGCATAGAAAATGCAGAAAGCAGAATCTTTCACAAGCCCTTCCAGGATCTTGATCTCATTTGATCTTCATAGCAGCTGAGCTATATTTCTTTACAATGTGCTCCACAGAGAAGGGAGCTG